GCGGCGGAGATCGCGCTGTTCGCGGAATATGCTCAGAGCATCCGCGATGACTGTGTCCTGCTCTGCAGCCCGCCCCCCATCACGCAGGATCTTCGAAATGAGCTCATCGTACTGTAGGGAAATACCATGATGAGGATAATCCAATGGGTTATATCAAGGGTTCTTACTGTTAGATCTTGGAAGCCGTAGTTGTGTGCCTCGATGATCAAGGTGCAAACAGCTTCCTGCTCCCGTGCAGCAAGTTCGCCTTCCGTACTCTGCAGAAGTGCTATAACATTTCTGCAGGATAGGAAATCGACGACTATGAAAGGGGGTCCGTGTGAGCTTGACCGAGAGAATGGGTGGCACTATGGGTCTACGTACAGCTCTGTGTAGCCCGCTCTCGTGCGTCTCTCTCGTGCTGGTTTAGTCGCATGCTTTGTGGCACTAGCGCTGAGTCAGCATTGCTGTGACTCAATATCCCGGCAGCCACGTCGACAGCCTCCGGCAAAATAGCCACATAATGACGACCACAATGATCTCTACCATAACACCCGCGGAAAGGCGTCTCGCTCAGTGCTTGCACGACGATATCGCCGTCTTACGGTATTATGGTAAGGGACTCATGACGGCCGTCAGCCACAACACGATACCCAGGATATTCGGCCCTCAAGACGTTATGGTACGCCAATCGTGCTGTGACATGCCTATACCCACAAAATTGAGTACTCACATTATGTCTGATCACAGCGCCAAGTCCAGGGCTGCGAGTTTGCGCACAGAAAGACGAGAAATAGTGACGGGGGGTGTGCAAGGGCGAAAGACTCGGGAACAGCAGGTTTTTGTATGCTCGCTGCGTGGGCGATTGATGGTAAGTCACGCTGCATCGTGTTCAGTCCTTCACCAACGCCTGCACACATCAGCACTTATCAGGCATACGCACGCCAGCATCGTGTCAACCTCCAGTACATAGATTGCTCGCCTTTTCCCACCCTGTGATCCAAGGCTGCCCCGCACCCCACCAAGATACCACGAACTGTCTCGCCGGCGACTATACTGCACCTTTTTCAGGCATTCTGTAGCCACGGAGGTACGTGTGTGTTTTCGCGTGCTATAGTTCGCATGCTTACTTTTTGTTTTGCTGTGCACAGAAATCAACGAAGTTGATTTTGATCAGCTGCAATCTCTGTTCGACATCTACCCACCGTTCGTCGAGGACTGGATCAAACTCGCCGTCTCCGAAGTCCTCTCCCCTCTCGCAAACGTTTCGACGACCTCCTATCACTCACACGGGCTTGACGTTTATTCGTGGCTTACTGGCGCCTCACCTGTTCGTCCTGTCTCCTACCTCGCCTTCATCCCAGTCTCACTCCCTCCTATCGGCCTCACGCAGTTCGTGCAGTATCTGATCGTCCCGCGCGTTTCTGGACTATCGTACACGGAGCTCAATTCAAGACTTGCCGGTACCACGGGCCACTTGCAAGGTCTCGTTACCGCTGTCTGCATCTCTGCGTCTACCGACGACGCGAGCTATCCCAAGAACGCACACCAGGGACTCCGATGGCTCTTCCATGCTGGTCTCCCGCCCTCGCACTCGAGCCTAGCGTCGTGGAGGAATCGATCGAAGGTGGCGAGGGTTCTCCCACCTCTATGTTGTCTGTCGTTGGCCTGCTGCTCAAGGATCTAGAGCCGCACGTCGCGGAGACGAACAAGCACCTCCCCTCCAACTCTCAACTTCACATCCCTCTCCATAACGGCGCGAAGGCTTTCGTCGTTACCGGTCCTCCTCGTGTGCTTTACGGTGTCGTTCCTAGCCTCAGGAAGGTCAAGGCTCCAAGTGGCGTCGATCAGAGCAAAACGCCCTTCTCGCAGCGCAAGCCGGTCTTCTACGGCTGTTTCCTCACTGTCGGAGTCCCATACCATAGCAAGTACTTGAAGGATGCGGTCGACAAGCTCTGTACGGAAGATGAAGGATGAGGAGTTGTGGGACGTGAAGTACTTGAATATTCCGGTGTTCCACACCGAAGATGGTACGTTTTCTGTTCATTCTTTTTATCTCGTTCGAGTACTGATTGTTTTTTCTAGGCTACGATCCCCGCGAGCTTTCCACGTCTCTCACCCGTTCCATCTGCGACCAGATTTTCACTTCCCCAAAGCCCTCCCCTCCTTTGTCCAGCGCATCCTCGGGGCGATCGACGACCACTCCGGGGTGAAAAGGCAGAAGCGGAGCCAGGCGTATATGTATGCGGCGTTGGCGTTTTTGTGTACTGTTGCGAAGGTAAGCTGGTCGTTGTTTGGTTGGTTGTTTTTATCCGGGGGTATACCTAGAATTTATCCCGTTCGATCACTCTCCATTCTGATCTTCCACATCGACATAAACTTACATCGCACCTCCTATCCCCTTGACGAACCTCTCTCCACCTTCTTTCTTGGTGCTCCATCATCCCTCATCCCCACTCGATCCTTGCCCCTTCTTTCTTCCCACCTACCTCTCGTTTCTCGTCTCTCATCTGACTCACTTATCTCATGTCTGACTTACTAGGCCTAAGCAGACCTTCAACACTCTGGTACGGCCGTCGCGCCTGCACCCACATCCGCAAAGAACGCATGGCTTCCATCTACGACAAAGCGCTCAAGCGGAAAGATTTCAGCGGGATCGTGGATCCCGGATGCGTTGGCGAGTAAGCGTTGGGCGGCGGATGATGCGAGGGTTCTCCGTTCCACGACTACCTCCCTCCACCACGACTTCCCTTGGTGCTACTGG